AAATAGCAATGTTTTTCATACGAACATATTTTTAAGGAAGGAGAGATTCTTACTATGCCCCACCAACTGCGGCATTTTTGCTTATTTTTTGCCCTTTGTTTAGAATCAGGTGCTCCGTATATAAATTTCCATCGGACTGAAATGGAAACGTGGGTTTGAGATTTTAGGCAAGAACATCCATAGGTTGATTTGAGAAGTCTGGAGTACTACGGTCGTATGGAGGTCATAAACATTGGGGAGAGGGTCGAGCTGTTTTCGAAAATTGCCCTTAGCAATGCTTAACCGTGGCCACAACTGCGGTCCCATCAAATTCTCGCAGAAGTACCACATTCTTCGGCTTTCTCAAAGAAAGGTACTGTGGATTTGCAAACTTCATGCTTTTTTTATTGAGAAATAGATCAAGAAATAGAATAAAAGTGAGACTAATGTGCTCTTTAGGCGTTGTCGATCATTTTGATACCTATTGTTCCCTAATCAGGTCAACTTCGCCGAACTCCATTTCCGAATGAAGTTGCTTCTTTGAAGCGGGAAATAACAAAAACGGACTGAATTATGAACCCAGCTGTACAACAGGCCCGTTATTTGTTGTTTCTCCTTCCTTTTTCTTTTCTCTCACTTCTCGGAAAGTTGCCTTGAATTTGTCTTGCCACTGATTGTAAAAGGATATCCGATAAAAAAACCATAAACAGCGTAATTTTCTGACCTTCTTATTCAGTTTTTCACACTGCTCGATGTGCGACGTTGTCATCTCGGCGTTGGCTTTCAGTAATTCTTCGATTTCTTTCTTGAGCAATGTCGTCTTTTCTCTCACAGTCGCTTCGAGCTTTTCAACCTCAACTCGATGTGATTCGATGGCGTCATCCAGGCGTTTCTCAGCCTCTTCCAAGCGTTTCTGATACAGCTCTTCCGTCTCGCGTTTCTGGTTTTCCTAACTCCTTGATCTGCTCAACTCTCGCGGCTTCCATATCTTCTATTCGCTTCTCCAATCTGAAAATAAATAATAAATAAGGGCACGAATTAGATACGGTAGTAGGCTCAAAAATGACTAGCGACCCTGTGGGAATCAAAACACTGACTAAGAACCGATCCTCTTGTTTGTTTGTTTATTTACTCTTTGATCAGCGGTTATTTAACGTTTACCCTTCCTATTCTATCGGTGTAAGAGTGCACCATATTGAAGCGCATAAATAAATAAAGTGAAAGTACAAGTCTGCGCTTTGTCATTTAGGGAGCGTGGCAATTGGACGCGCAGAAAGGTGACAAATAATTAAATCAAGTGGGTAAAAGTCGCGCTTCAATGCTCACCGAGCAAACATCATGCACTAGCTTGGTAGAAGGAAGAGTGGTTGGCACTCTGGAATATTCCAAGATTTTGAAAACCTGGTTTCTTCACCCTCTTTCGACTCACCGAGTTCGCCAAGACAACACTAGGGATTATTTACGGATATATCGTTCTTGAGAGAAGGCCCAACTCAGATAAAGGGGCAAGAAACTGATGAACAGCAACTTTACTGTTAAATTTCTATCCAAATTTATTAATCCATAATAATATAACAATCTGTAGGTTCTTAAATATAGAACAAATATATCGCTTAGGTCGGTAATTTCATTTTTTGCGCTTTTTGTTTTATTGATTTGTTGATTTGGGTGTTGTTTTCATTGTTTTCATGTCCCTGCCAAAACCCACCGTTCTTGATGTGCTCGATGCTCGGCTGCCATTTCTTGAAGTCTGGCGGTTTTGTCCTTTTCGAGCTCTTCCAATTGTTGTTTTATCCTGACGGCAAAGTTCTCCTCTTGTGATTTATCGACAGCCGTTTTAGAAACTCCTTGAATATTTCGTAGACTGGCCTTCATCTCCTCGTATTCCTAAATATGGTTGAATATGTTTACATAAGTAATTGAAAATGTAAACAGTAAACATGAAATAAACTTTACTACACAAATACTAAATTGAAGACCCAATTCGTGAGAGATTGAAGTTACACACTGACTCCATTTAATTGCATTAAATCTCAACGCATTAAGGTGGAACGAAAGAATTTAGAGGATTTTCATGGGTAATCGATTATTAATTAGGTTCTTATGTTAGGATTTTCTTTGTGGAGTAAGAATTGTAGAGGTCCCGCAGGAGCAGCTTGGCTTCACTTCTTTACAGTAATCGGAATTACTCTTTCATAGAATGGGTATATATTACCATAAATTCTTGAACTCAAACTTGAGCTAGGGACAGCGGACCCTGCGACTGCGCGGGACTAACGCTAGGAAGAAGAAGAAACTTGAGCTAGGGAACAACATCATTTCAGAGGAGGGAAATCACAGCTTCAGTGTCATTTCAAAGAGACAGAAATACACAGCTTTCAGTAAGGATTATCTACTGAGAACTACAGACTACTCCAGCGAAATTCGCCCCCTCCCCCAAAAAAACAGAGGAAATGAGGAAGCATATCAAAAATTGAGCTTCCTAAGGAGGAACTTCGAAAATGAAGAAAATGATCGTGCCTATGGGAAAAAAAAGGAGAATCGAAACTGAACGGCGTGCTCACCCTTCCACCTCGGCCAGCCTCGCCCGGGCTGCTTCATATCGTTCCACCTCGGCCGCTGTGACAGTTTCGGCTTCCTTCAACTTTCCCTTGTACTCATTCACTTCTTCTTGGAGTTCTTCTACCTGAAAAGAAGCCCAGCTCAGGATTGAACGAGAAGATGGCAACCTCATCCCCCTCCTCCCCTACAAGACGGCATCACAAAATTGTTATCACTGACAAACCTTGTAACGTTGCTCCTCAGTAAGCTCGAGAAGCTTTTTCTTCTCCTCTGCTGCGGCGTCCCGGAAACGGTGATGCTCTTCTGAAACAGGGTTATCCCTCACTCGGTAATCTTTTTCCTAAACACTACAGAAAAATCGCCTAAATTTCTTAACTGACCTTCAGTGTCCAACCTAGAAGCGGCTAGTATCTGCCTCCTTTTGAATGGCTTCGCACTTTTCGGTGAGTTCACGAAGTTTCCTCATCGACTCTTCTTCGATAACTTTCTGCTCATTCTGCACTCTTTCCAGCTCAGCATGCAATCCTCGCGTCTCCTCCTTCAACTTGCCGTTTTCTTCCTCCAACCTTGCTGGCACTTGATTCCAGCTCAGCTTCATGCGCCTTATGAGATTCGGCAGATGATGCCAAAGCGATAAGTCGCAAACACAGCATTAGTCATGCAACCCCCACTACACAGAATTAATCTACCGTCATTCAATTATTTTTCCGTAAAAAAAAATCTTAAAGGCATTTTCACCTAAGAACCCTTTGAAAATAGACTGCTGAATTTTATTGGAGCGTGGCGTATCCTAGCGCCAGAATTTAAAGCCCCCGACGATGTTTGAGACAGATCCGCCAAAAATAGTGAAATTAAAACAAGACGTCGTGGTCTTGCGAAGCAAAATAGCGAGTTTTGGATAACAGAACCACCCTATTTCAGAAAAGGTATGAGTATTCCAAACTACTATATAATTAAGTTGAGTACCGAACTGAAGCCGGCGAAATACCTACTTTTCGTTTTCAGCGTTGATCCGCTTCTCCATGACCTCCTTTTCTCTCTCCGAAGTCTCGAATCGCCCTTTCCATTCTTCACATTCTTCCATGGATCGCTCCAGCTCTTCTTTCACTTCTCGAACTTGTTCGTGCAAAGCTCGAATCTCTTCCTGATACTGCCTGAAAATCGATTCGTATGTTTAACGTGGGCCTGTACATACCTTCCATCGTTCTGCTCGAAATGTCTCATCGAGATTCGCTTCATTTTCACGACCGTTGAAGAAGCAATCTGCAATTGCCAAAATGCGATTAAAGTTAAGTCCCGTAGGTACTATGCAACCTGCCCCCCCCGCCCACAAAAAAAGCAAAGAAAAGAAAAAAAGCACAAAAAAAAGCTACCCAACGCCGTAATACTCTATTCGGAGCTGATTCTACACACATACACAATGTAATCTGGTTCAACAAGGACCGCCATTACGATAATTCGCAGGGCAGGGTGTAAGAACATAAAGCTAGCGAGACGCAGACCGCCTTGACCCACAACATGTAGGGCAAGGAAACGATGAAGTCGCGGTAGTGTATTAGCTTTTCTAGCCAAGCCCAGATTAAATTTAATGCTATTGATTATTGACAAGATTGCTATTACTGTTGATAAGCCCGTATTGTGCAAAAAAAATAACATACCCGTTTTCTGCACGGACAGCTGACAGCGACGACATCAAAGTGTTGAGTTCATCAGCCACAGACGCTCTCGATTCCAACTTTTTCTTCTCACTTGAAGCGCAACGAGCTCCTCCTCCAATTTTTTGATGTGTTCTTTCTTTTCATTCAAGCTCGTCATTGGATGACTTCAGCTTCTCTTCGAGAGCCGATCTGAAAGTAGGCAAATCTGGAAAGGAAGTGGAGACGCGTGTGATGAGAGCTTTTAGTTCTGGCAGATTGCGCCATGCCTACAGCATTCAGTTGTAACCATCCTTTTACCCTAACTACAACCATATTTTATTTTAGGAAGATAAAGGGATCAGTAACGCGTTTCTGGTTGGGCAACAAAACCTGGCTGTTTCATCGTTGGACAAATCCGAGTAGAAAGGCACTATTGCTTGAGCACTGTTATTGATTTCGTTTGTTATTTTGTTTTTTTGTTTATGGCAATATAACAAAACCAGTTGGCGCCGCACGCATTGCGCGCGCAACACAGATCTGCTGCGAACTTTGATGGTGCGACAAAAATTTTCATATTTGGCTTGATACACTACGAATATCTGAATCCTCAGCTAAATTCTATCCGCTCCATCATCGACGGCTTTCAACCTCTTTTTCTTCGTCAACCATTATCCTCTTTTTCCGGTCTCCGGACTGCTTCCGGACAATAAATCTCGTGGCAAACTCCGCCTACTTCGGTGCGTGCCCCGCCCACCAATAGCATTTGGCCCCCTTCCTTTCGCCGACCTCTACCCCTTTTTCACCGGTCTCTGGGACCTCTTGGAACCAAATTACGACACTTTTGGCAAACTCCGCCCACTTATGTGCGTGCTCCGCCCACTAATAGCAGTTGACCTCCTTTCCTTTGCCGGCCTCTACTCCCTTTTCTCCCGGCCTCCGGGACTTCTTGGAGCCGAGTTATGAATTTTCGTCGCAAACTCCGCCCACTTTGGTCAAGCCCCGCCCACCGATGACAGTTGACCTCCACTCCTCCACCCACCTCTATCCACCTTTTCCCCAGCCTCCGGAGCTTCATGGAGCCCGAGTTATAAATTTTCGTCGCAAACTCCGCCCACTTTGGTCAAGCCCCGCCCACCATTGATAGCTGGCCTCCACTCCTCCATACACCTCTATCCACCTTTTCCCGGCCTCCGGGACTTCTTGGAGCCGAGTTATGAATTTTCGTCGCAAACTCCGCCCACTTTGGTCAAGCCCCGCCCACCATTGACAGCTGGCCTCCACTCCTCCATACACCTCTATCCACCTTTTTCCGGCTCTTTAAGGACTTCCCCGACCCGAATTATGAGGGCTTGTAGAAAATGCTGTACACTTCAGAGCGCGCCCCGCCCATTCTGGGCGGGCCTCCGCCCACGTCATGTATGCAGGAAACACCTTAGACATTGCTCCCTTACACCAAATTGTTTTCTGCTCTGTAGGCTTTCTCCCAACCGAGTTATGAAATTTTTCATAAAGCACTGCTTTTTTAGAGAACGCCCCGCCCACCGGGGGTGGGTCTCCCTAATTCGATGTGACTTACCAATGCACACCTTAACCCACTTTTTGGCCCAGTTTCGAGGTCGTTTTGTCACTGAAATCGAAATCTTGGTCTTCGGTACAATTCATTTCGACGCACGCCACGCCCTCTGTGGGCGGGGCTCCGCTTAGCTGATGTGTGTTTTGTATTACGTGAGACCCTGCCCACCCATCCCACACTTGACCCGGTCCCTCCAGGTGGATCCCGAGGAGCTAGGGAATTTCGTGACAGACATACAGAACGACACACGACACACGACAGACGACACACGACAGACGAAGCGCTTTATAGTAAGTAGGATACTCACAGCTTGACTCAAAGGTCCTTCCTGCTCTCGTCTGCGGCTTCCAGCTTCTTCTCGAGCTCATCAAGAAGTTGTTTCTGGCCTTTGGCTGCTTCCTAAAATTCTTTTGGTGAGTGATTACAAACATTCAACTCAGCGATTTACGCTTCCTTGTAAGTGGACCACACTTATGGAAAGACCTTCAGTGCTCAAACCTGTGCTCAGCTTCAGCCTTCTGATGGGGCGTTCAACGACAAAGGTCAATGCCGATCTAACTTTTTAAGCTCTTCTCGCAATAGTTCCACCTAAAACAACTTGTAACCCAGAGGTCAGCTGACACAGGTCTCGAAATCACAAAACTATCTGAATAAGGTTCAAAAAGAGAATTGAACCACGACAAAGCAATATTTGTCAGAGAACACGAGAGAAACATCCTTTTTATCGACACTTCCTATTATGCCCCTTCTCGCTATCGCTCATTTAATTCGTTCGTTCACCCAAGTGAAGAAGTTAGCAAGGATACAGCATTTATGGTCTGAACTATGCTAAATCCCAGCGTAGTTTCATTCTCAAGCTGCTAAGGGCTATTACAATGAGCGGCGTTGGTCATAGTACTGGTCGACTGTGCTGAGCAAATTGGGTTAAAAAAAAAAAAGGAAATGAACAGGCGTGGTCAAGACTGTGATGAGTAAATGGGTAAATAAGCGAATAAATAAGCCCTCAGTGAATTAAGCAATCAATTAGTATCAAAGTATCAGTATCAAAGTAAGTAACCAATCAATTAAGTGTAAATAAAAACAAACACTGATAAAATAAACCCTTTTAGGAAACGAACCTCTTTGTCTGTGTTCCCTTTGGCGTCCAATTGTGCTTGCAGCTGCTGCACTCGACGGTCTGTATTCACCACAAGCTGTTCCTTGGCCTTGAGATCAGCCTCGGCCTGTTCGACCCGAGATTGTGCATCTAGCAACTGCATTTGGATCGCCTTAAAGCAAACAGTGAGCCTTCTAAGCCAGAAGGAGAAAAAAATGAAAAATTGGTTATACTATGCCTTTCTTTTATTACGAACTGGAAGAAATTCACCAAATTCATATAATTGAAGCTTACATTGATTTTGTACGTATGATTCAGCGCAGCCTAAAAAGAAACCGCGATGCAAGCATGTAAATATATAACAGATGAGCATAGGGCATTGATTAATCCCTTCTGGGATGCGTCATGCAGTTCACTCTCATGCGAAGCGTTTGTGGCATAGGGTCCGTCCTGGTCCATACAATGATGTGGGAGCCAGCTAATGTACAATCCAGTGCTTTTATCCGCACAGGAGATCTCGGGTGACAGGTCATGAGAGCTGGAAATCTTGGATGATTTGGGCAGAATTCGTAGTAATAGATATCTCTTTCCAGAGTGTCGGTTACCATTTCAAATTTTCGGCTTTACCCTAGCACATTTCCTTTACCTGATACTGCTTAAGGTCAGAAGGAGACATTCTAATCACCGGGTACTCACAGTTAGAGCCTTTGCGAACTTTATTTAACGTCTTAGAGCTCCATAGCCATGCCCTGATGAAGAAATAAGCTAATTGGGTATGCTTTAAGAATGAGAAAAGGGAACATAATGATTATACCCAGCTACCCTATTAAATGAGGGCAGTGTTTGTGTGATAGAAGCTCCGTTTACCAGCACGGTCAGGTCAGTAGATCGAACATCACCTAGGCCAACCAAACCTTTTACCCAGGTGGTCGATTGAATAGTACCAAGCTAGCCTGAGAATATAAAAATACTGACTCATTTTCTTGGTATACGGCCAGCCCCGCAAGCCACTAACTAGACCAACGCACTTGAATATCATTATGGATCCGAATGAAGGCATCAGTGCGTGGCACATCCGAAAAGGATGTCGATCAACGCCGAATGCTTTAAAGGACGAATTCACGATGAAAAAGCAACCCATTTCAAATTAACCTAGGGATGGTGAGTGGTACACGAAAGAAGGAAGAACCATGAGAAACGGCCCAGAACCCGAGAAATGGGACCCCTTCCTTGCCCGTTGATTTCGAGCATTGATGCGACTCTTAATTGACCTACGGCGAGTGATCAGATGATCGGTGGGCGGAGATCGCCGACCCGCCAGCTTTGAGGCATGATAGGTCGCCGAGGTCAAATTTTTCCATGCGAATTGCGCGTCAGTTCGCACCCTCAGGAGGTCCGTGGGTCCCTCAACTAGGTCAGTTTCCCTTTCTTCGACCTTCATTCTAATCGTGAATTCCTCCTTTAATCTGCTCCCGTCTTACCA